AGTGTCTGAGAMACGTTTTTGAAATGTGTTTAATATATTTACTTTTTTTGCTACTGCCTAAACAGCCTTCCTTGGTTGCAGAGAGAGACAAAAGGGAAACCAAGCCTCAGTGAGAAGATCTTTCCAGATATTTCCTGTACAAGAACACTAGAAGTCTTCCTTGATTCCAACATAAGACAACAAGGTTTTCCCTGCTAAAAATAGGCTTGATCTCTAGGCTCACTGAACTATGGCTTCTTGGTCTCTCCTCCTTTCCTTGACAATCTCTTTCCAAAGGACCGTATGTATCAAGGCCTCTTCCAGTCACTTCAAACTTGGCTTCATTAAATAGATTAACAGATTTTAATAAACAGATTAAGGCAAAGTTTTGCCTTCAAAGCTTTTCCCTGGCCTTTGGTGACCTGGTATGGCTGGTCTGTTATTATCCATACTAAATGCATTTATTTCCCATCCTTCAGTCTTTTAGACTTTCCAGGCCTGTTAAGGGTAGTCAGTGGAGCCTGAGAAGAACCCATTGGCAAGGATCTGCTGCAGCAAGGCTACATTCCTCCTGCCAATCCCTTTACCAGTCTAATTATTCCATCAAAGTGCATTACGATGTTTCTGTCCCTGCCAAGTGTAACCTGCTATCAGGTTAAGTTGCCTGCCTCTTGAAGTCCTATTCACTTTTGATTTCCGCAAACAACGGTGGTGTCACCAGATCTCCCATTTTTCTTCTTCATRTTGCATTTCCTTGCAACATTTTTCACACATGTTTGTTTAAGCATTAATTATCCTATACTGGGAGTACACGTACATATGTTTGTATAGTAGCTGTCGCTGGTGGTGGTATAAATCAAAAGGCATTTCATTGTCAATGTCTGGATATCTTTTTAAAAACATTCCTCATCTCTGCAAGAGGTAAGGAACAAGACCTTATATGTGGTAACTGCTGAAATCTGACTGAAATAAAGATTTCTATTAACAGTAAAATAAATCCCTGCTATCAATCTAAGTGCGTGACCTAAAAGCATCATTGAAAATAATCATCTTCCCACAAATTTTGAATAACTTGTCCAAAAAYGGTGATAGTGTCCCCTTCACTGAAACCCYGASRAAGTTTTTTTAACRTTACATGAGTGGCACCAAATTTTCCACAGGAACTTAAGGAAGCATTTCTTCACTGTGAGGGTGACAAAGCACTGGMACAGGCTGCCCAGAGAGGTTGTGGAGTCTCCTTCTTTGGAGATCTTTAAAACCCGCTTGGACGCAGCCCTGTGCCACGTGCTCTAGGTGACCYTGCGTGAGCAGGGGGGTTGGACTMGATGACCTCTGAGGTCCCTTCCAACCTWAAGCATTCTATGATTCTATGACACTAGGCCTAGATCTACAGGAGGATGGAAAGAAGCTGGGGTTCATCCCCTCCATAGGGAATTCCCTCCACCTCRTTTCCATGCGAGTTCCAGGGCAGTGTTAATGCCAGCCCCACAGCCGCTGTGGGAGAGGATGATGAGACGAGACCATTGTGCTAGCCTTGCACATCAGATGTGATGCRGGAACATTTCCCTCCTCAGGCCACAGGGCTGAGCGCAGGGCACTCAGTGACGCTTCTAGCAATTCRAAGATATATTGCTCCAAACTCAGGCAAATACATTTGTTTGTTCTTTCCCTCCCCTCTTTCTTTAGCTAGGGGTAACACAAGGCTTTGTTTAGAAAGAAAAGAGAACCCTAAACATGTGGGGCTTTMATCTTTTACATAGAGATGTTTCTGTGGTGCTTCAGGACAAATGCCAGCTGATACATAAGGAAGCAGGACTGCACTTAGCTTTTTAGAAAAAGGGGAAAGAACAGAACAAGCCCTAAACCTAGCTGTTGGCTCCATCTGGGAAAAAAAAAATGAACTCACTAACAAGGTCTGCTATTTTTGCTTATTTAGAGAAAGGTCTGGAACAAGGGCATAATACTACAGTGCAAGTGATATATAGATATATAGGTATAATTCAAAGATTCAAAGTATGAGTCTTTTTTTTTTTTTTTTTTTTTTTTTTTTTGTTAAGTGAGAATATTTACCTCTAAGAATGCAGCCTGGTAATCTCCCAATCGAGAGATTTGAAGCTCACCTAAATTTCATCATGTTCATCTCTCCCAGTTTGGCAGAAAATTAAGCAGATTTTAAAGNTTTTTTTTTTTTTTTTTTTTTTTTTTTTTTTGTTAAGTGAGCATATTTACCTCTAATAATGCAGCCTGGTAAACTCTCAACTGAGAGATTTGAAGCTCACCTAAATTTCATCATGTTCATCTCTCCCAGTTTGGCAGAAAATTAAGCAGATTTTAAAGGTTATTTGCCTGCTCTTTCAAAAACTTCTTATTTACACACTGTACTTAACATATAACKCCACAATTTTATTTTGAAAGGAAATTTACCCTCCTCACCAAGCTGATGAATTTTACATAACTTGAAGTGTGTAGATATACATGCAAACACGAAGAAGGGTTATTATAAATCATTACTCTGGCAGTAGTCCAAAACCCAAGGGCTTCAGCTGTTACAGTAGCAGAGCACATAGAAGGTTCCATAGAATTAATCCAAGTCAGCTGGATTACAAGAAACACAGTGTACAAGAAACAAAAACATACCTATGTAAATCCACGTGGTTTTCTAGCAAGGCTTTTAAAATTATCTAATCCCAGTATATAATGCAGGAAAATGTCACTGCATACATAAAGATAATACCATATCAAACAAATAACAGGGGATAGCTAGTAGAGATTATATCAGTGGTCACGTATAAAGTCCAAATGATATATACCTTAATAAAACACCTAGGAAAAAGAAACAGCAACATACCATTAAAAAATAATATTTAAATACCTTCAGCTGCAGTATAATCTTATTTATGTTAATCAATTTCAGACTTTACTACATAATTAGCATCACAACAAATAAGTATTTTTTTATATTAGAAATAGGAGTAGAAACACAGAATCCTCTTCACTTGATTTTTGATATCCATTGATAGCCCCTGTTTTAATTGGGGGAGGGTTTTCAAGCCAATCAGGCATACCTCAGATGTATCAGATAAAGCTTGTCGCTTTGAATGAAACTCTAAAAAGGAATAAACCTTTAATAATAAGGATTATATTAATAATCACAGCTGATTAGTCTGTGAATAAATTTGCCCTTGAATGGGAGACGGGGTTGATGGTATCCTTATACATGATTGTACTGGGGATGACACAAAGAAAATGAAAATTTGGGTAGCAGTACCTGGTGACAGTATTAGAAAGCAGGGAAGGAAGAATAATGATGAAAAAAGAAAAGAGACAGTTACTTGCTGGAGAGAACTGGCATAGCTTAATCTACCTGCAGATTTTGTGGAGCTCACATTTCATCCTCCTCAAAACACAGAGTATCTCTGTTTGAGTTTAGTGGTTTAAAATTGAGGAAGTTATTTACATTCATATGGTTTGTGCCATTTGCAACAGAATCTTACCCAGCAGCCCTCCTGAAACCTGGAAAATTTCAGATACAGAGATCCTCCAGTCTTTATTATTTAAAGCTTCCTGCGTGGTTTTGCTGTAGAGAAAGAGGCAGTGGCCTTGCATTTAATCACATCAAAGACCACATGCCATAACTTAGTTAAAAGGCCGCTTATGCACAATAGCTTTATCCAAGGAGCAGCTCGCCAGACTACGTTATTCCTAAAGTAGCGTGCGACGTATCCCTGTGCTGCAGGCTCCAGCTGCTGACTCAGCAGCCTCTCAGCAGATTCCAGGCAAAGGACCCAGCAAGGGTGCTGCAGGGAYGGTGCTTCAGCTATGTGCACGTGCAGACCTCATGCAAATCAGCTGTGAGGCCCCTCAGCTGCACAGGGCAGCTTGTGGCTTAGGGCAAAGCAAAGGATTTGCAGGCCCTCCCGCCTTTGATGCTTTCATTTTTTTAATGCTTTTGCCTGAGAAAAATGTCTTATTAATGGAGGAAAATGGAGGAGTAATTGGTTTTCCAGCTTGCATGAATTTCACCAAAATGCCTTTGCTGGATTGCTAAAGTGCATAGCACTTCCAGTTTTTGCCTCTTGTTTGATTTTTTTTCTACCAGTTTAAAGATGCAGCAGACACATTGTCAGAAAAGTGTTTCTAGTAGGAGCTTTGTGGTGTTGCTCTGATAAGCACTTTGTAGCCTTTGCTCTGCTTTGTATTTGGAAACAGTATTATTTGCTTATTTGCACCCCTTGTTTTTATGTTTCTACAACTCTTTCCTTTTTAGTGTGTAATTTCTTGACATTTTTGCCAGGAATGGTTGGTTCTRGGCACTGCTTTTGTTGCTGGTGTTTGGCTGCTCTCTCTGCAAATTAGGTGAAACTAAAAAATTTATGACAATTTTGAACCTTTCATAGTCTGCCTCAGAAAAGCCCCTTCTTGGCCACTCCATTTCAGTCTTTAAAGCTTAAAGACTATAAAATACATCATCATCTGACTGTAAATACATCATTATCTGTGTGTAACTACCCAGTAGTAAAGCAGAATGATGTTGTTTTTTATAAAATAAAAAAAGAAGGGAAAAAAACCCCACAGCATGGCTGAAGGCAAAGCTTAGCTTCTTTTCYGTTTAAATTAATAGCTACCTCAACACCTCGTGTTCTGGGGGCGAAAAAAAGGGTCTTCGAGGGTCTAGGAGAAAAAAAAGTCATTGTTTTTTTCATTGCCTTGTTAAGGTCACCTCCTTGTACCTCAGTTTCTGTAAAACAATAATACTCCATACCTAGGACTGCTGCTAATCTTSTCAAACACTGAGAGACTAAATCAAATGACTGTTGTGAAGGACCTTTTTGTTTCCTGGGTGATACACGGATATCAAAGTTCAAGGTAGAAAGCAGGGTCCTCGCATGACAAACAACCTCTCTTGGCAGCATCTTGTGTTTCTGAGCGTTCCCTCTCTCTGAGGGAAGAGCTGCCTTGTAAGCACAGACTCCAAGTGCGAACCTGCAAACAAAGTGTTCTGTGAGGAAAGACTGTCTTACTTTGCTGGTCCTCTGGCTTTCCCAAGAGCACGACTCAGCCTCCTGAGGGCYGATCCCCCGCGGAAAAGGGTGGTCGCTCAAGCACGTTTGGCAGAGGGAGGGCTCGAGCTCTGCATCCCCTTGAGGCAAGTGCACCATGGYGGAACCCGGGTACTTGAGGCTGGAGCTTGGGTGTTTCTCAACGCTGACCATGGGGCTCTTAATCCACCTTCGTACCTGCCAACACAGAAAGAGTTTATGGATGCCGTCCCTCTTTCCCTGCTTTGTGGCAGAAGCTAGAAATGTTGGCTCAGATAATGTGTAGGATCAGGAACAATTTTGTATAGGAGGAAGCAGTAGCTTGCCAGGGTACATAACACAGCTAGATTCTTTGGCCTTGAGAATCCTTTGTTGCTTGAGGCAGGTCTACCATAAGTTTCGATTTATCTGCGATAATAAGTTTTCTGGGCTTTAGGCCTATTGAAGCATCCAATAGTCAGAGAAGGAAGGGAAGTCAACTACAAAGTTGCAAGTACACCTAGCAAAGATAGCTCGATTACCCTTGTTTAGAGAAAKCACATTGTTTTCCCAGCTATACAGTTGTGATACTCTAAGCTTTCTGCAGTCTTTTTTCAACAGAAATGCTCTCTGGTTTCCTACACCATCTCAAGCTATTCTGTGCACATGCTGACTACACCAAAGAGTCCATTTCTCAGGCTGAACAATCCAGAGTTTCAACCCCCTGACTCTTCTAATCTGTTGTCTTCTGCTTTCTTCTTGTCTCTGCAGGGCTGTGCTGCTGGGCAGTCCCAAGAACACTATTTACAAGCATTGTGTTCCTCTGGGAGTGATGTCAGCCTTGTGCACACAAAAGGTTTGTTCTTCCTTTCCTTGTTGTGATTGTCTCTCCTCTGCTGTGTGAGTCAAAAGTACCTGATTTCTGATAAGGTAAGTGAGGAATCAGAGACATTTTGGAGCTGTTTTTCAAGTTCATTTTGTACTACACTAAGTGCATGGTTTGTATTATACTTAGACTTGGTCTGTTCCAAACGTTGACAAACATACGTTGATCACCATTGCTATTTACACTCTATTTTAAACACTGAAGAAGGGAGTGTATCAGGATATTTGTTATCCGTACAGAACTGCAAGGCTGAGGTAGTCAAAAGTGACCACAGAACCAGCCTACTATTTCAGTGAGGTAAACTATTTGCTTTGCAAGTTTAAAGCTACGTATTTGCAGGGAAATGGGTTGTGTCTGTGCTCACTGGTAGAGCTGCACTGACTCATTCTCTAACACAGAATCTGTCTCACTTGGCCTCCACAGAGAGASAGCCAGAAAAAGCATTTGGCTTCAGTATAGCCATGGTTCATTAGCAGATGATATTTGCCAGTAGAGGATGCTTTACATGAGGAAAATAAACATTTTACGTTACATTAGCCATGGACATGATGCCAAATGTTTGGTTCGCAGTGGAAGTCCATATCTCAGCAACTAGTTTCCAAGATCACTTATGATAAACAAACAGAATGAACCATATCTAACCAACCTTCTTCTGGTGACTCCTCAGTGAGCGATATGCCCACAATTGCCCTGCTATGCTGACCTGTGAGAAATCTCAAGGTTATTTATTTATTTATTTATTTCTCCATGGAAACCGAGCAAATAGATGTCCTTTTTGTGAGTAAGTGTGCTACTTCCCATTGCTTTCTCCATCTGCACTTTCTAGAAACATGACTTTATGTAGGCTCTATTAGCCCTCACTTCCATGCTCTGTATTGTATTACTACAACCTCAGCTCTCTTTCTTTTTCCTTATAGCTTCTTGCATGTCAATAGATGGCAGGTGCAACGTTTGCATGCTCTTATAACAAATTGCAGAATTAAAATCCAATTGTCCATAATTCTGTGGAATGTTTTTTCCAGGATGTTAAGGTTTTTATTTTTATTTTTCCTGCTCTTTTTGCAATTCCTTAATTCCAGTACAATGCAGAAAAAAAATTTGCTAACCATTTGCCTTAACCAGACATTTTTGACTTCAGGTTGACAGGTCAAAGTTGCAAGGGAAGGAGTTATTTTTTTGATTTTGTTTCAATATACATATTTTGAAACTGATCTTTTGACTCTACCAGATTTTAAACACATTTATTTTGCCAAGCATAATTGATTCTATGATTGTTAAGCACATCATTATATATATTACTCTTCCCAAGTAAATTTATGGTTGTGTATCTTGATCTAATTCCAAAAATGGTATGTTGAAAAGAATAACTATGATCCTGGACAAAAACCCTTGCTTGATTTTCCAGTGTAGTTTTATTACRGGAAGCATATATAATGTACTGAGGGGAGTATATGACTGTTCATTTTTGTCCTTTTTAAGTTAAGCTTGGTGACCAGTTAAGTGAGTATTTTTTTAGCTGGTTCTGCCTTTATTATTCCATGACATCCTTTATCCTCAGCAATGTAATTATGAGCGAGCCAATAATCACGCATGAAAGCAAAAAATGAGAGAATAGAGGGGCCTGAGCTGCAATAAGGAGTTTCAGCCTTTCTCAGGATTCAAGGAATCTGAGAATGCGTTCAATCTTTTCCTCAAGACTTTATAAATAATTGGCTTAAGCCAGTATTCAGATGCATATCTGTCTCTGAGATTCCTTAAGCCTCACTGATGTTCAATTTTATGATTTCTTTCTTTTTTTTTAATTTTTTTTTTTATATTTTGCCACAACATGGGTAATCAATAACTTTTGTAGCAGCTTATTTTACTGTGTGTGCTTCCAGTTACAAACCTGTAGTGTGCCTATGTATTAGGAAGAATTCAAAATGTGAGTTGGGTACACCTTGTGCAGCAAAATCTGTCTGGATGAAGTGATCTAATAGCTATTCCCCTTAGTGGCAATGAAATATACATTCAGCAGTTTAATGTTCATAAATTAAAAATCACCCATCAGTGCTATTACTTCAACGAATGGTAATGATGAAATAAAGCAACAGGGCATTCATTTTATCAAGATGTGCACAATTTCATCAAGGTGGCATCTTCTGGGTATAGCATTAGCAAGCAGTCGCTGAGTTCAGGGTGAATCCGAGCTGAATTTTCTTATACTCTTTATTCTAGCATGACTCCTGTTTGGTGCTTTTTTTTTTTTTTTTTAATTTTTTTTTTTTTTATTCAGATGCACACCTTATTCTCTGAACTTTTTTGCTGCTTAAAAATGCTGAATTAAAATGATATTAATACAACAAAGTTTTGGGGAAATCTGAGGTAAGAATATTTCTGTTGCACCCTGCTTTGCAATTGAATGTATTAGCAAGATTTTTTTTTTTTCCACTAACTGGAACACATTCAAATAGGTTATTGTGCAGAAAGTTCGAGTGAACTTGCAGACAAAATTCTCAGAACACTTCTAGTTTTCCTCTTTTCAGTTCGGCAAAGTTCAAGTTCATAGACATTCAACCACATTTGCTCAGCCATTTTATTACACATTTGCGTGTTGACTCAGCAAGACTTAATGAAGCTTCAAATCTCTGCTCTGCACTCACTGTCCGTGCAGCTGTCTCCTGCAGTCAGTGAGCACAAGCCTGATTCTCAAGGCTGCTCAAAAAAGACATCGAGCAAGGGCTGTCATTTTCAGCAGATCTCAATCTGTTTGGGCATATATGCATATGGGCATATTGGGCATATATGTATATGGGAACTTAGGGAACAATCAGGAACACTAATATCAATTGACTTCAATATGAATTAGTTGTTCAGACAGTTTGCTTTGGAATTAGCACAGACTTAATTAATTCTCTGATAAATTCATTCATTTACTTCATTGATCTAACTTAAATTTTTAGTTTTAATTCAGAATTAGAAGGCCCATGAGGATTTTAATGACATTTAACTAATCCTTTCAAATTTCATATGAATATGTTAATTCGAACAAATGCCCCCAACTATCTCCCTGTGTACAAACCACATGTTTGCCTTTTAATTATCTCCAGATAATTCAGAGTACCATGTATAGGGGAATTTGGCAATTATTACCAATACCCAGAGTGGAAAATGAAATGATTCACCAGCGTCTTTCAATATCTATGCCTTTCCAAAAGCATTTAAAAGAACTTGGAAGTGGAAGTATCAATTGACAGAACCTCCATATCAGCAAGGCCAAGAGCAGAATTCTGAAGAAAAATGACTTGCCTGGACCTAGCTGGGAAGGTCTCAGGTTTCTATTGAGCTCTGTAGATGATATACTACTTCTCAAAGTGACTCAGTTAGGTTTATTGAAATGTTATGTATATGTATTAGTCATTGTATTGAAAGTCTACTCTATAGGGCTTTGTCTAGTTTTAATCTTAATACACTTCAAAGATTTTTTGTGTATTTAATATTTACATTCACACTAGACAAGTGCCTTAGATCTATTGCTCTCTGTTTGACTTTGTCTATCTTAAATGTCACTTAAGATTATAAAATGAAGATCTGCTTTCCTTTGAACTACTTCCACCAAAAAAAAAAAATCACTAAAAGGAAAAACAATTTTGCAGATATTTCACAGTTACTTCCTTGATTGGTGAAGACTGATTAACAGGGAACAGATGCTAGTTTTCATCTGGGTCATTATTATATCATGCTCAAATAGCAAAGTGGTAGGTGTTTCTTTCTTCATGACAATGTAAGGACTGCTTCTTTATTCAAATATCAGTTTTATTATCAATGTGATACCCATCTACCACTAAATCAGCTAGAATTTGCTCCTAGCTGCAGAAAGCAACTCTGAACTGTGTCTGAAGACTTTCATATTTTCATTTGAAAAGTAAAGCTCCTAAAACTCTCAAGGCAACTCGAGAGCTTAAGTGACAGAAGCTAGGTTTGTTTGAAATAATCAGAAGAGAGCTGAGCAGGATAGAAAAGAGCTCTGGTGATCAGCACGTCAGTTGAAGTGTGAAAGCTGCACATCAAAATCCAGATATGTCCAGAACCAGTGGTTCCTGCTATTTTTTCAGCTGAGCAAGAGGTCAGCTGCAACCATTCAAGTAGACAGCCTTGAGAATACCCAAACATTGCCTAAGTCTTATTAGCTAAAAGTTACTTCAAAATGTCTCAATGAAACCTTGCCTTCACAGAATCATGTAATGTTTGAGGTTGGAAGGGACCCCGAGAGATCATCTAGTCCAACCCCCATGCTCAAGCAGGGACACCTACAGCACAGGGCACAGGGTGTAATCCAGGCAGCTTTTGAAGA